TTTAATGAATTGAACAAAGAGGAACACATGAAACAAAGGGTGTGTGGTGCGTGTGTGTAAATTAAAGAAAGAAACACGCGTTTCATTTGTTTTCGTGAAACTTTAAATTAAACACACGAACCACCCGCGATATCCTGACTGGCGGTTGTAACTAGGACATAGGTCTTTAGGAATAACTAATATTGTACTAGGATCTACAACTATCTCCAGGTTATTAAGGTTTACCACAGGAACTGACCCATGAAATGACCGCGTGTTTTAATTATCAAAATCTGGGTCTTTTGCTTCCGAACCTAATGTTGTAGAACGAAGTGAAGAGAATTAACCACGCTCCGCTCTTCTCTTCAATCATCGGTCTACAACATCAGGTTCTCCAGCTATAACCGTGTAACACCTTGGAAGTGAGGGTCCGTGGTTCGTATTGTGGTGTGTGTATTTAATAAGAAGAAAAGGTAAGGGAATGAAGAATGAAGGAACACACGCTTTTCTCTTATTAAATCCACACGCCCCAAATGAACCACTAAAAGGACCCACAAATGACCTAAGTTCTAATTACAAGGAAATCACGCATTCTTTGTATTTCATTTAATTAGAAATTAGTTCATTCCCATGGCTTCTTTGTTTCTTTCTTTTGTTTTAGTTCGTGCTTCGTTCATTCCACTCACCGCGTTGCGGCCCGCAACGGGACTGCAACGGAACAATGCAAGAAGTGAGATGCTCTGAGCTACACGAGGGTGTTGGTGCCGCCATGATGGGGGTGATGCATCTTGCGAGGTCCAGCGCCGGATCCAGCAAGCGGGTGTCTCGTGATATTTGCAGTCCGCAGTTAGTGGCATTGCGGTAGCATCGATTTCCTGATCTCCTGCCTTTGCAGGACCCGCAGTGGCAGAAGTTGATGACTTGCATGCCCAGGCGCATGCTGGGATGTCTGTTAATTTGGAGATACTTGGAGAAGTAATGTGGGGTCTAGAGAATCCAGCCCCGCCGCTGAGGATTAGGAATAAGTGGTACTGCAAGGGTGTAAGGGCGCGGAAGACTTGCTTCTCAGCACACCTCAACTTAGGGTTTTGAGATGTTTTGAGGTATCCGGGGAAGGGTTGCAAGCTATGTAGCAAGCCGAGAAGGCGGGGGCCGAGGAGTCACTTTTTAGGAACCCAAAAAGACCTTGTTGGGCTTCATTATAAGGGGATTTATGTGGGATATCGCTATCCTAATTTTCGCTTATGTGCTTTTTTGGGGCCCTAACTTTGGTCTAGTGCCCCATTCCATCAGAGTGAATTCTGAATCTTAGGTACTGAGTGGTACTGACGTAGTGTGTTGCCTGTGTTGCCGAGGCAGCGGCGCTCGAGAAGGAGAACGAGATCCTGAGCCGACAACAGGCTGTGGCCCTGTGCTCCGTACTGTCCCGTCCCGTCCTGTCCTGCACTGTTCGGAGGTAGAGTGGCATCGCTCGCAGAACTTGATGTGCCCAGCTCAGACGTGACTGTTTTGCAGATCCTGGTTTGGACCGTCCAGGCTCCGCCTCGCAGAGGAGAAAAAGGTTCCTCCGAATCGCCCTGCAGAGTCAGGCACCTCCGGGATGAGCTGAGACGGAGAGAGCCGAGACCGCCCCCGCGAGGACGCAGCCCTCAGGCCCAGGGGGAGCCCTCCGCGTCCAAGCGCAGCGAGCGGAGCGACCGGGGCCAGGCTGAGCTGGAGCAGGCACCCGCGGACCGCGCACCGTTGTTGGCTTCGGCTGGGCGCTGCAGGTGCTGTCGGCAAACGAAACCTTTCGTCAGAGGGTCCGGCAACTGCAGGAGGAGAAGGCTGCATAAGGATCACGCCTTGCATTGAGATCCAGGGAAAAGCAATGTAAAGCAGTCGGAACTTGGTGTTGGGATGCGTTGGGTGTCGAGGCACTTGGGGCATTGCGGGTGACAGGCCGAGCTCGTTTGCAGTCAGAAGGGGCCCGTGCCTTAGCCTCGGAGCTGAGGCGTCGGCGAAGAGTCTGTAACCACAACCCAGCACTCCACGACCAAGGTTGGAAAGCTTCATCCGATCGCGAATGACGCCCGGCATGACCTGGCCTGTTAGTGCCAGGCCGTCAACTTCGGGGTCTTGTCTGTGGGGAGGGGTTGCTTCTTGATGAAGGGCCGTCACGATGACAATTGGAATCAGATCTGCAGATTGCCCGAGGACAGCGATTGAGACCAAGCTTGCCGACAACTTCGTAAGTTCGTATCCGCCATCTCCGTAGCTCTGCGAGCCGGGCCACAGCAAAATAGTACCGGAAAGACCTGAGTTGCATGTGGTTCTTATCCTGTCGGCCTGCATGGACATGGCATGACATGGCTGTATGTTCTGAGCTCGTGCTGACGCAGTGGTTCAGAGGGGCCCAGGGGGGCTACGTACGGCTGGAACTAGCCTCGGCTCCATTATGGAGGCCTCCTGTGGAGACTGTAAGGACTCAAACATTGCAGCCTGCGACTCAGGACAGTTTGTACGATGAGTTCGGAAACTATCAAGGTGTGAAGTGAGGGTTTCAGACGGCTGGGAAATGCTAGCACACTCCATCCGTGCCCTTCGATGTCGATCTCTCTGTCCGGAGGCCCCGACATAGATGACGACGAGGATGAAGAAGATGACGACCTCCTCGGAGGTTTAGACGAGGAGGAGAAAGGCAAGGGAGATGATGATGGCACCGGGGTGGGTGTCTGGGCTGAGCCGAGATTAGGGAGAATCTGGCACATGTTCGGCATTCCACCATGATCGAGCTGTGGGTGTGTCCGTGGCTGTGGTGCGTTGTGTTTGACATTTGAGGTGATGTGCCCATGGAGGGCGTTGAGGCGAGTGGTGACAGGTCACTAGGCAGGGAACTCTTGAGTTTAGAGTGAATTAGAGTGAAGCAGTTCCAGTTGATACCAGTTTATGTGGCTGCTGCTTCGGTGTTTTGTTCGCTTGCCTTGCCGAAGTTGGTATGCATTTCCCACCAAGAGTGTTTCTTTCCCTCATTGTGTGATCCTGACCCTAGCCCACATCGAGGGTTAATGTTCACGACAGGTGTAGACGTTGTACTGGTATGACCCGATTCTTGCTTATCCGTTGTGACATGACCAATGCCGCTGCCGGGTTATGCCCTGTAGCTCAGACTGCGCCATGCGACAAAGTGCATAGTCCGCTTCTGTGTGTCTGAAGGAGGTTATGCTTCCCAAAGTACTGCTTTACAGTTACAAATTCTGCGCTTTGGGCACCTCGATGCGACACGGAGCTTCACTAGGGCCTGTAATCTTTCATGACCCGAGCATCCAAGCGATGATCTCTAAAACATATAAGCTCCTGTACAGTTTTTCACGAGTCGAACGGTTTTGGTGACCTGAGCTTCTTTTGTTTTGGCGATGTGCATCTCTTGCTTATTCGGTACCCAGGTTCTGGGATTTGCGATTGATGACCGATTTAGGTTGCAGACTTGTGCTGGTGCTGATGGCAAGATCCTTTTCCGTTTCTTGACATCGCCCTTGATTCCTAGCGCGACGGGACTTTCTCTGTTGAAGCAGTTGGCTTGGGGGAGGGGTGCGCGGGGCACTGTGAGAGCATAATTCAGAATCACTCCGAATTTCCTCAATGCAGAAGTTCTTGATTTGGTTGTCAGTTTGCAGCCATCGTGGCATGCTCAAGTAGAGTGCGCTTGGTTGCTTTGTCGTGGTTCGAGTGTATTTCAGTGAGATGACACTTGCACGATCTTGTTATGGATCGCTCTGGACGAGAACTTCTCGCCTTGACACGTTGTTGTGCCAAGCCAAAACCAATATCCCTAAGCTTGAGACCCTGCCAGAAACCCTGCAAGCCCTCAGCCCTAAACCCTTATTCAAACCCTCCATGTTGCTGTGCAGAATGCTTTTTGCCACCGGGCCGATCCGAGGCAGATCATTCTGCACGAAGACAAGAAGCCACTGTTTTGGATATGAAAGGCATTTGTTTTTCTCAGGGTTCGGTTGCTTTTTAGATGCTGAAATTGAAAGTGCTGAAACTAGAACTGCATGCTGGAGACCTGTGCTCCCACGGTCGAGGCCAAGCTGCCAGTCATTGCCAGCCTAGGTATTACCCGGATGCAGAAGAACTCTACGGCGACGCAGAAGCTTTGGTCCAGATGGAAGATACCCAGCCTCTGACGGATCCCATCATCACGCCCGTTCAGTCCAAAAACTTCGACGCCCGGCAATGTTCCAGACAGACGTCGGTAGCAGCCCATGACTTTCACGCCCGGCATGCTCCTGTCCTGTAGCAGCGAGGATCTCCTGGAGAAGAAGATGCCGGACACGACCTTTGACTTCAACTTCCTCGCTGCCATGATGGACAAGCCCAACTTAGTTCGTGCCGTGCTGCATATTCCATCTCCAGGTTTTCGTAGACTGTAGGTAGGTGTCGTCTTCAAGGGCAAGAGCCCGCACTCTGGCCGAGGCAACATTTGTTTCTTGGGTGCCATGCACCATGGGAAAACCACCTTCATGGACCTCCTCGTGCTGAACACTCATGAAAAGGACTGGAAGGTAGGAAAAGAGATACGCGCCTCGCCGCCATCTCTCTCCTTCCCCCCTTTTAGATATTAGAGGGCTTGGGGGTAGGAGGAGAAACGAGAGGAGCGTGTGTGTTTGTTTTTGTTTCTTTCTCAGGCTACACAGACTCCAGGCAGGACGAGCAAGATCGCGGCATCTCGGTGAAAGCCTCCTCCATGAGCTTGGTCTTGCAGGATTCCAAGGACCGCAGCACGAAAGGAAGGGACTGCTTTAGACTTCGGAACCGTCACATCTTGGCCGGCACAGGACAAGTCCTATCTCTTTCACGCGATGGCACCTTGGCTAGTCTGACTGTTCCTTGTCACGTCATCCACTGAAAGTGGTGTTCCCATGCCGAAGGACACTCCCGGCCACAGCAACTTCCAGGATTTCATGGCGATTGGGTAGGCAGGCGGGTATTCTGTGCCCAATGCAATGGGAAGGACGAAGTGATAGCAGCTCTGGCTTTGGCTGACGGTGTCGTTCTGGTGGTTGACGTGGTTGTCGGCCTCACCCAGCGGCCATCCTGCAGGGAGATGCAATTGGAGTCGCTCTGCAGAATGTGCCGTGTGAGCACTCGGCCCAGGCACATCGAGCGAATGCTCAAACACGCTTTTCAGGACAACCTCAAAGATGCCCGGTTGCAAGAGGCCCTCTCTTTCTCTGCGCATTTGATCTCGCGTCCTGGGTTTGAGGTAGTTCTCGTCATTAACGGCCTCGATCGCCTCATCATGGAGCTGAAGCTGCCTCCGACAGATGCTTATCACAAGTGCCTTGACTGACGAATGATCTCGGAAAGCAGGCACAACTATTGGGGATGCCGCTGCGCCGTTTCCTTTTCGGCTCAGAGTGACGTGTTGCTTGTAGGTTGCGGTACTGCATCGAAGACATCAACGAGACCATGGAGAAGCTCTACGACTCGGCCCGCGCCTCCTGCGCCGTCGGCGCTCCCCGGACTTTTGCTGCCATCGCGCTCCGCTTCAGGCTGGAACGGAGGTCGACGAACGAGTCTACTTTTCGCCGCTGAAGGGGAATGCCTCGGCCTAAGATTGAGCCATGCGAGTAAACGGTAGTCTCTGTGCTCTCATTGCTCTCCTTACAGCATCAGCACCTTCTTCCTTTGACGGCGATAGCTTACTTTCCCAGGTAATCTTCTCCTCGGCTCTGTTCCGACTCTAGGCTTGCTGTGTAGATTCGATTCAGGAGTAGCCTGCTTGAGGAATGCTGGCCGTCTGTTGTTCCGTCTAAGGAATGGTGTTCACCTTGGAGTCATATGCTGCAATCTACGCAGAAACGCATGGTTTCAGTTTTGACCACTTGATTCTTGCTAAATGCCTCTGGGGAGACATGTACTACAACGTCCCTTGGCTTGCATTGCACAGTCGTTCAGACTCGGAGTGTGCTTGCTTGTTCGGAGAGTTGAAGCAGAGGCAGAGGAGCGCAAGTTTCAGAAAACCCCTCCGGATGCGGAGCAGCCGCGCTCCTTCGTCCAGCCACCAGACTCCGGCAAGGAGCAGTGTCCGTTTTTCTGCTTTCTCTCGTAGGAAGACTGAAGCAGCTTCTCGTGGTGATCTTTCCGAGGTTCGTCCTGGAGCCGATCTACAAGATCTTCGCTCATTGCCTCGGCGAGGAGAAGGAGGACCTGGCACAGACCCTCGCAGAGGCGCGAGCAGCAGCGCAAGCAGCTCTTGCGCAGCATGTTTCTTAGAGGGCCCTCCTGGCCCGTCTTGCAGGTGGGCATCTATCTCCACAAGCGAGACTATGAGCTGGACGCCCGAGCGTTGATCCGCAAAGTCTTCCAGCAGTACTTCGGCTCCGGTGGAGGTGCGCAAGAAGTCCGACAAAGCTCCTGGAACTCTGTGTGAGAGCGTGCATCTTCTTTCTCCTCACAGGCCTGCCATCCTTTGTCGACATGGTGTCTTGGCCGAACTGGGTGACAGAACACGAGCATCTTCCCGGTATATACGAGGTTGTGAGACACATCCCGAATCCGAAGGAGATCTGCTGCAATCAGTCTGTCAGAGCGGGTGTCGTGGATGTACGCCTGCTCGCTTCTGCAGGAGAATGCTGCCATAAAGGCCAGTATTGCCATGATTAGTGGGATGAAGCGGGCGTTTGCTGCTTGTTGGCCCCAATAGAAACGTCGGGTGTTCGACTGCAAATCTGCAGATGCCAGGTAGAGAAGCTATACTCTGGTGACCAAGAAGGTGCAGTGTCAGAAGACATGAAGAAGCTGGATACCACAGGTGGCTCTGAGATGCCCTGTGTGTTTTGGTGTGTTTCAGTTCTGTGCTTCTCTTCAGGATATCTGATGCTTCATGTCGTGGCTTGACAGCAAAGTAGCTGGCTGGTGCAGCAGTTTCTCAGATGATCCGTGTGCGACTTTGAGACCTTCCGCCGCTGCCTTCTCCGTTCGAGGTGAAACAGTACCACAGACCCGATTGCAATGCCTTTGATGTCTTTGGCCGTGTCCTTTCCGGCACAGTCTTCCGTGGTGATCGTGTGAAGATCTTGGGCCGCCAGGCTGCATGGATGCTCAGCGTGCTGGAGTTGTTGTCAGTTTTTTTTTCTGCTGTGAAGAGCCCAGGAGAGACGTACTCGCTGGATGACGACGAGGACATGGCAATCAAGGAGATCCAAAATCTTTGGATCCTCGAGGCCAGCCTCCCTCGCTGTCCGACCCTCCACACTTTTCCTTTCTCGCTCAGGGCCGGTATCGTGTGGAAGTTAGCCACGTTCCAGCAGGAAATTGGGCAACCTGGCCATAACTGAGACTGCTTGCCGAGCCATGTCGCAAACATCGGCCCGCCAGGTACTTATAGGAGGCATCGAGACGTGCATCAAGAAGACGGCGACCATCACGACTGCCTCGAACGAGGAAGAGGCCAGGCACGCGAGCAGGTGCCAGCAATTGCCAGCATCTAAGCACCGAGCGACGTCCCAAGGTCGAGATCTTCCGGCCATTGCGCTTTCCGACGACCCCGGCTTCCGGCTCAGTCCGGGCAGCCCCCAACAGAACCGTCATAGAGGCCAGGACAGCAGGCAGTTCAAAACTTAGGAGCAACTCAGACCTTCGGAAACGTAGGAAACTGCACGCCGAATGTCTCGCCTTACCGGGGCAGAGCCGCAGCGAACCCGGATGGGACCGAGGTCATCAAGGTCGCCATCGAGCCACTGCAGCCTGCGGAGCTGCCAAAGATGGTCGATGGCCTGAGGCCTGCAGGGCGCTGTTCCGGCAGTTTGCACTTGACCTGTGGCTTCGCCGCTTCGGTTGCAGGAAGATCGACAAGGCCTACCCGCTATCGAAGACCAAAGCTCGCCCCTGAGGGCCGAGGGAGACTCGAATGGGGGCGAACGAGGGGCACAGGGGCACTGGGAAGAGAACACCGGATCCAGGTGGAAGAGAGTGGCGAGCATCTTGGCTGCGCAACCAATTTGCGCCAACTTGCAGTTTCTATGATTTGCGCCCGGAGAGCTCTATGTTCCACAGTTTACAGAGCGCAGGCACGTGCTCCTGGGCACTGGGGAAGTTTACCTGGACTGCATCCTTCACGACCTTCGAAGGCCAGGGTAGAATCAAATCCTCGGGTCATTTAAAGGCCACAGCACTCAGAGCACAAGTCGAGAGGCTTTATGGTGACCTGGAGATCAAAGTGGCGGATCCCGTCGTAGAGTTTTGTGAGACGGTGGTGGCACTCTGGCTGTCGTTGGCCATGAGATCCTGTTTGCATGTTGCTGCCCAGTTCTGTTGCGTCACATGACTCGATCCCGAGGAAACCAGTTCCCTGAAGTGCTTTGCAGAGACGCCGAACAAGAAGAACAAGCCTGGCTCTTTTTGTCTTGTGTAGTTTCCAGACCGGCCCTTTCTTGGCAGACGACGAGCAGACCGAGACTCCCCCTTCCTTCCTTTCTTAGGATCTACATGGTGGCCGAGCCTCTGGAGAAAGGCCTCGGCGAAGACATCGAGAAGGGCAAGGCCGGGGGCGCGTTGCCGGTCGCGGTCGCGGTGCGGCGTGTGGAGGGGGTTCGGGTTCGGAAACGTTGTTCGCTCTTGGGCAGGTGAGCATCGAGTGGAACAAGCGCCGCATGAGCGACTTCTTCACCAAGAACTACGACTGGGACAGCCGTGCTTGCACCTCCTGCAGAGCTATTGAGCTGCTTTGCCGCTTTAGCTGCGGAAATGTCGTGGTGCCGGCTAGGACCTCTTGGCATCCAGATCGGTTTGGGCATTCGGTCCGGAGGTGCGCAGCCCAAATCGGAGCAGCATTCCCGGCTGCGAGTCGCGCTTCGATTTGCTTCCCTTGAACTTGAGGTGAACGGGCCCAATGTCCTGGTCGACGATTGCCTGCCGAGTGAGGCGCCGTTCTCTCCTCTTGTGCCGCGGGGCGAGCGCGGCGCGGCCACCCATAATATTGTGTCAGAGGTGAACAAGAGCTTGCTTGTTCAAAGCAAAGATAGTCGAGAGCTCAGCAGACAGGAGATCTGCCAGTCATGCCATGCACCGGCTGTTTCCGTTCAGGCTTAGTGCAGGGCTTCCAGTGGGCTACGAAAGAAGGTCCCCTCTGTGATGTGCGCTTCTCAGTTTCTCAGAGTCCAGTGAAGCGCTCACCGAATGTGGCTGACGACATACTCCTGACACCCTCGCATGGTCCAGGAAAAGATTCGCAGCTGCAAGTTCAAAATCCTCAATGCTCAGATGGCAGAGGATGCGGTGCTGCGTGGTGGCGGCAGCTTGGCATAGATCCGCAATGGTGGCCGTTTCTTGGAAGCGTGAAGTCGGCTGTAGGCCAGATAATTCCCACAGCCCGGCGGGTGGGCGGCTCAGGCTGAGACAGATCTCACGTTTCCCATTCCTTGGCTTTGCAGGTGGCCTACTCGGCCTTCCTGCTAGCAACTCCTCGTCTGATGGAGCCGGTGATGCCGGATGCCCTGTGCTGTCTGCGAGAGTGACAGAGCAGAGCTTCCTTGCTTTGTGGATTTCAAGGGAAATGTGCCTATGCTCTTGAGAGATAAGTGAGAGAGTCGCCTTAGCTGTGGGCTTTGATCTGCAGGTTCTCGGATATCGAGTGCCCGGCCGACTGCGTAGCTGCCATTTACAACGTCCTCTCCAGGAGGCTGTGGACACTCGCGAACGCTCGAATTTCAAAGTGAAGTGCGAAAGTGAGAGGGAGAGAGAGGGAGAGGGAGGGAGAGAGAGGGAGAGAGAGTGTGTGCGTGTGTGTAGTGTAGGGGGGCTTCCCTCCTGCATCACAGCCCTGGCGAAAGAAAAGAGAGAGGGGGAAGGTGGAACACTTGGCAGTGATCTACCAGGATCCCGGGACCAGACACCCAAAGCAGCTGGGGGCTCTAAAGTAAGCATTGGCAGGGACGCCGAGAATGAATCCACACCTTGCGTGGAAACCAGCCACGCAAAGCTTCCCCGAACAAAGAGTGGGAGACGGAAGCAAGAAACGCCCGCAGGTGGTGCAAACAGGGCCCAAATGGTGGCTCCCACAACCGAGATTCTCCGGGTGCATTCAGCCGAAGGACGGCCGTGCTACCGGGAGAGCGCACTCGCCTTTTTGAGAATCCCGCAGACAACAAAGCCGATGCGGGCTACAAGGACAAAATTCTCCTTCCTCTACTTCCGAAAGGAAAGCACAGCCGAAACGGATGACGCGCTGGTACGCAACCATGCACCCCAGTTCGACCACACGATCTGCCGGAGCCCAGCCACGGCACCCGACGAAGTGCCTGTACCCCCCTTTACAACCAGAATTCCCACTTCACAACCCACAAGCCTTTCCAGAACACTTTGCAACCGGTTGCGATTGCTTCTTAACAAGCGTATTAACTGAGAACGTCAAAGCCTGGAACCTCCAGCAGCCTCCGTTAGAGCAACCATGCAGGTTGGAAAGTCTTGCTGGTTGCAATGTGGGCGTTCTTAAGCCGAATCCAAGACATAAATATAAATATAAATATATATATATAAGGACATATATATATATATATATATGTATATGCCTATATACTATTTGTTATATGTCTGTGTCTGTGCGTGAGGGTTCGGTATTGATGCTTCCTTGGTCGCTCACCTCACCGAGCTACTTGACTCAGGTAGTAGTTGATGTTTACTCTCGCATTCATAGGCACTCGGACGCAAGATTCCTCTTGCCAGGCGATGCTCAGCCGTAGGTCTGTGCAGCCGGAAATGGCTCGAACACTTGGATCAATTTCCTACACCAGTGTGTGCTTGGCTAGTGGCAGATTCTTGAGCCACAAAGTTGCGTTTGTGGCGGGGCACTTAGGAGGAAAATGCACTCTGCTTTGACTTAGTACCTTTATCTTGGTTTGCACGGTTTTGTTTGGTCATAGAAAGGGAAGACCAAGTAATACTTAATATTTTTTCTTGTGTGTGTTGTCGTAGACACGGCATCCTAGGCAATACTTCGTATATTTATCTTCGTTTTAGCGAGTGTGTAATGTCGTAGACAGGGCATCCTAGGCAATACTTCGTATCTTTATCTTCGTTTTAGCGAGTGTGTAACGTCGTAGACAGGACATCCTAGGCAATACTTGTATCTTTATTTTGGTTTTAGCGGGTGTGTGTTGTCAATAGACAGGGCATCCTAGGCAATACTTCGTATCTTTATCGTCATTTTAGCGGGTGTATGTTGTCATAGACAGACATGCAGACAGACATGTAGACATGCAGACAGACATGCAGACATGCAGACATTCAGACAGACATGCAGACATGCAGACATGCAAACAGACTGGTTGCAAAGTGGGGATTCTCAGGATCCACAGTTGTAAAGTGGGGATTCTCACATCGAAAACAGTGTCTGTGGTTGTAAAGTGGGGGTTCTGGTTGTAAAGTGGGGATTCTGGTTGTAAAAGGGGTTAATCTTTTCTCGAGGTCTACTACCAAGGGGCGCACTCCTTCCACGATAGGGGGACTACGGACTGCGAGGCACCAGACAACATACGCGAGGGGCACAGGCGTCTTCGAGCAACAACCGAGTGCGTACAACACAAGCTCTTGTGAAGAAAGGGGGCAGGAGGAAACCGAGTCTGATTTTGACGGGGACAACGGCAGCAGCTGCAATAACTACAACAAACACAAATGAAAACTGGCATTGAAACAGCGGGGGCATCGAGATGAGAAGGCTGACTGCGACGAAGACAACAGCAACTACAGCGAGGATCAGCGAGGACCTGCCTTCAAACCACGAGGGCACCCAGAAGGAGCAGGCCGAGACAACATCACCACCAACACCGCAGCCGAGGGGAGGACCCTGAACCAGCAACGCTCGCAGTGACGGGGACTGGCAGGTTTTCAGTCAAGCCGGAGCGTAGCGCGACGCTCCTTTGCTTCCTTTCGTTCAGGACCGTGGAGACGCTCAAACCAGTCAGTGGCTTCGTGCTGTGTTGGTGTGGGTTCACGGTTTCCACGCTCTAAGGTTGTGAGCCCCCAAGTCCGCGCAGGGGACAGTTGTTTGTCAGCAGATGATGCTTCTTTGTCAGCCATTGAGCTGACTTATTACCGCGGGATCGGAAGATTCAAATCTACAAAGCTCTTATTGAATCGAAACTGATGTATTCTCTGAGCTGCTTGTGTTTATCTTCCGCGGATCGCCGGCGTCTTGATGGCTTTCAAAACCGTTGCTTACGAAGTATTCTGGGCATACCACCTGCTTTCATCTCGAGAGTATCCAATGCGGAAGTTCTGCGCAGAGCTTGTTACCCCGCTGCCACAGACATGCTCCTGAAACGACAACTCCTCCTTTTTGGTAAAGTGCTGCGATCTGCATAC